TCTGATTTCATCTTCCTTTTGAATTTTGTACTTGACATTGTGAGATCGACATCTGGGATATTGTGAGACTTGGCATTCGCGACATTTCGAATTTTCGTCACTTCTGACAGTTCAAGATACTATCTTTGGAAACATTGAGTTGACGTCATCTTCCCTCTCCTCCTCCTTCGTYTCTCTCCTCTCTMCTTTCATCCGTGTATGATCTTGATCCCTGGCCCTTCGTCTATTCTCGAGGCCAGGGTATTCACGCCCKGATGAATGTTTGAGAGTGTCTCGATTGCATTCCAAGTCAGGTCTGAGTCAGTCCAAGGTATCTCAAGTCTTCCGCTTGCATCTATAAATCTATATTATCTGGTCGGTTCTGRSAATTTGCGKCATACTTATGACTGTGTTTCACGAGTATGCAACAGTTTGGTATCAGAGCAGACCAGCATTGGATGACTCACCAGTTGATTGATTGATTGATTGATTGATTATCAATATCTGCACTCTRTTATYAGTAAATCGCAAGTTGCAATTTTTTTTTCTTTTCTCGCACTTTCATAGTTAATTAGGTCGTTCATTTGTAATTTTAGGTTTGCGACATTTCTCCATATCGCGCAMTTAGGAARTCGTTAATTAYRAGTAAACCTAATTAGCRTTAATTAGGGTTAGTCYTAACCTAATCTAAACGACCTACCTAACCTATCGGAGGTTAGTGCCAGCCAGGCACCGCGCCAAYTACGGCTAATCSGGCCTGAGSTAGGCCATATTYGAAYTGCAACTTCACGGAACTTTCACTTTTTGCAAACTGCATCTTTTTGCGATTGAAAGGTTGAACCTTTCCAGCAAATTGTGTACCTTYCTGCTACCATTCATCTTCTACTRTATGCATGMCCTCATGATGATGCKAAATCTCCCGACGAARTTTCGTGAGATTTTTCAAAAAAAGCTATGTCTAAATGTTTAAACTKAAACTTATTCATTTCTTTTATTGATGCAAATTTAAATATTTTGATTAAATATTTARCTTTTGCGAAATTAATTAGTACAAAGTTCAATATTTCGTTAATCAGGTATTTAATCTTTTGCCGAAATTAAAATTTTATTAATTCCTATTTTTTCGATTAAGTTTTATTTAATTTYCCAAAATTCGAAAATTCGTCCCGGGGGGAATTTTTTTTTTCTTTGATTAGCATCAGACTTCGAGGTCAGGGGACATAGGGACTGTCTGTGCATTGTGTGCCTCTCTGCCCCTCCTCCCCACCCAACCTTCTCTTCTCCTCTCGTTATACGGTTGCCAGCATCTGGACACGTCAGCAGAGTGCCACCTCAGCAGAGTGCCACGTTAGCGGGTGCCACCTCAGCAGTGACACGTCAGTAGAGTGCCACCTCAGCAGTGACACATCAGCCGAGTGCCACGTCAGCAGGTGCCACCTCAGCAGTGACACGTCAGCAGAGTGCCATGTCARCAGGTGCCACATCAACAGTGACACATCTTAATGCGCCGCAGCYAACGACTGGCCGAGCGCGGATCCGCCGGAGCMAAGCCTGAACAGGAACTGAGCACCCCTCGGATACSGCGCAGGCCACGCACGACCATGGCTGCCMRTTTTGACAACAGTGCACCAGCTAGCCCCAAGAKGCCGGTTACCCCTYCTCTCCCAGTTCAGCAGGCCGCTGAGACGCTCCTAGTGTTCCTCGACYGTCTCCAGCACTACTCGGAGACAATGGCAACTGACCTACGCAAGTGGGAAGAAGAGGAAGSCGCCCRCCAGCAGGAAATACAACGCCAGCAGGCAGACGCAGCAGCAGCAYGTCAGCGGGCCGCAGCAGAAGCTGCAGCAGCAGCAAGGTTGCAGCAGCARMAGCTCGAGGCAGATCAGAACCATGCTCGTTACCAAGCCAYAATGGATCTTGYTCGCGACGAAGCCACATATGTCAGGCTACTTCGACAACAACATTTCCAAGAGACCGAAGAACAAGCCCGGCCTATCGATGAAGAACGAACCAAGGAAGGGACAACAGTACTAATTGAGACTCTGATGTACACATGCAATTGGCAGCAACGTGAACTGCTCGCCACGCGGCAGGTCCTCATCCGCCATGAAACAACACTCAAGGCACTGGATAAGAGGATCGCGACCCTGCAGGCCGAGAACAACTCACTACAAGCCGCCAGCAGCCAACAGCAGCCAACAGCAGACGTTGAACAGCCAGCAGCAGACACTTAACCATCAGCTGCAGGCAGATGTCAGCAACAGTTTGGCACGACTGTCATCAGCTGCGCCAACGGGCAGTGCAGCCGTCGACTGCAGCCCAGCTTTAGCCGCATAGGCAAAGCAATTGGAGGAGCGGGTCAATCACTTAGTCGCATCCCTCGGCGACATCAGCAAGTTTGCTGGAGCGTCGACAGTCAGCAATCAGCTGCAGACGCTCARCGACCRCGTCGAYCAACGACCGGCCGCTGCCGCCAAGGAATGGAAGATGCCGAACTTCAAGGTCGAGAAGTTCGATGACTATCACAAGACGGACATGCTGCAATGGTGGATGACCTTCAACGCTGAGGTTGTAGTGCACCATCACCACCCTCCTCACGAAGATCACCTGGGAGGAATTCGAGRAGAAGTGGAAGACCCGATTCATGGTCAACAACGACAAGYGTCAYGCCATGAACAAGATCTTYTGCATCTACCAAGGCCARCAAACATCACGGGAATGGTTAACGAAGTGGCAAAGACTCGTCGCCACCCCGGAGTTGGGCTTACCATTCGACGCAATCCGGGCTGAATTCTTYGCTCGGTCATGCGACGCTTTGACAGCCGCGCTTGGGACCGAATTCCAATATGAGACCTTTGATGAGCTGACCACAAAGGCAAGAGACCTGATCCAAGGTAACCGGCGCGCGGCCAACGAGACCCGCCAACAGCCCGGTTACGTGGAGAAAGGCAAGGGACAACGGACGCCGCAAGTAGCAGCAGTCCAGCAAGGAACTAGTGAGGACCAAGCAGCCGCTTCAACATCAAGTGATGGAGATGTGGCGGCAGCGATACCACCGCGACGCACGAAACCCCGAGGGGGAAAAAAGGYGAAAGAAGCGTCGGCGGATGGAGCACGACAGGCAMCATGGACGAAATTTGGCATTACCGAAGAAATGTTCAAGTTACGATAGAAATGGTCATGCTGTTTATRGTGCAACAGCACCAAACACATCACCAGTGCCTGCCTCGACAAGGACAAGGAGAATGTCAAGCGTTCGGGCTTGGGAAACTGAGCACCGCGGGAAGTGCAGCGACAACATTTCCCAGTCCGCCGGAGTCGGCTGCCTTGCTAGCAGCSTCTCTCACATCCGGGGACATCGTGGTAGTCGCAAGTTCTCGCGTTGAGTACRAGAACTATGYTGTCGAGYTGGTCCCACCGTTGAACCAGCCTCTCCACGTGCAAGATTCAAGCGTATGCGCGGCAGTTCCACCGTCGGACAACGAACCGGTCGCTTCGTCGGCCCTTCTATCAGAGGATCCGTCAACTTGGATGAGACTTGAGGATCTCGATCCGTTGACGGTTGAGGACTTCCAATGGTTGCCTCTTCCCTCCACCGGTTCCTTGCCAACTCCGCATTGCAATGCCCTAATGGCACATCTAYGCGAATACTTGCACGCTGCAGTACCACCTACGTCGACGRAYGACGGAGTAGCGGTTGTTGATCTTTGTAAYTATCTTGCGAAGATCGACCGCGAGTACGCAAYGCAACAGTACGCCGACAACGACGCGCCGCTCCTCTACATCCGYATTCAGATCGGAAAGGCGACCTGCAGTGCCTTGATCGATTGTGTAGCGACTCGCAACTACATCAGCCAAGACTTCATGGCACGCGCCGGGCTCGGCCCGCGCGTTCGAAGGAAAAGTCAGCCTAYGCACGTCACGTTGGCCGATGGTCACACGCAAAAGTCAATTGACCGATGCGTTGACTCGGTGCCCGTGTACTTTGCCCCGCTAGCAAGCGAGGCCGTGTCTTTTGACATATTGGACMCCAAGTTCGATATGATYCTAGGCATGTCATGGCTGCAAAGCAAAGACCACCCGGTGAACTTCCATYGCCGCACCGTTCACGTTCGTGATCGGCGTGGTGAACTAGTCCCGTGTACGGTGYCGCTTYSTCATCCTTCGATTGGTTGTCACGTGGTATCCGCGGGGAGCATTCGCCAATCCATCCGACGGGAYGACATCGAGGAGATGGCCATATGTTTTCTTCACGCCCTCCCACSCGGTGATCAGCCCAAGACGGACACGTCGAACCCACGCATCATTGAGCTGTTGGACARCTATGAGGATGTCTTTCAAGCTCCCGTCGGAGTCATACYGGATCGGCCCATACGCCACGGGATCACTCTCGAGGAYGGCGCCGTACCTCCGCGCGGATGTATCTACCGCATGATCGAAGAGGAACTACAAGTGCTTCGGGCACAACTASACGACCTTTTGGCCAAGGGCTGGATTCGCCCTAGCTGTTCGCCATACGGTGCTCCCGTTCTCTTCATCCGGAAGAAGAACAAGGACCTAKGKTTGTGCATCGACTATCGTAAACTCRATGCACAAACGATCAAGAACGCCGGCCCTCTCCCTCGGATCGATGATCTTCTYGACTTACTCAGCGGCGCCAAGTACTTCTYGAAGCTTGACCTCAAGTCCGGTTATCACCAGATCGAGATTCAGCCAAGAGATCRGTACAAAACCGCTTTCAAGACGCGGTATGGGCACTTTGAGTGGATCGTCATGCCTTTCGGTCTCACCAATGCCCCGGCTACTTTCCAAGCGGCTATGATGACGGAATTCCGCGACTTACTCGACCGCTCCGTACTCGTTTACCTCGATGACATCTTGGTTTATATTCGGTCGCTGGACGAGCATCTCGAGCACCTTCGCGCCGTATTGGAGCGGCTTCGTATCGCCAAGTACAAGGCGAACCGCGACAAGTGCGAGTTTGCCCAGCAAGAGCTGGAGTACTTGGGCCATTAGATCACGCCGCAAGGCATTCGTCTGCTCGCGGACAAGTTACAAGCTATTCAAGATTGGTCGGACGTCAAGTGTACTACCGACGTCCGCTCCTTTCTCGGTTTGGCATCGTACTACATGCGCTTCGTCAAAGGATTTCAACACATCGCTGCACCATCGTCGCGACTCCAGTCCCCCTTGCTGTGTTTCGAGTTCAGCGACGAGGCCCGACATGCGTTTCACACCCTGAAGACGACTTTGCTTCAAGCTTCCGTCTTAAGCATCTATGACCCGACGTTGCCTACCAAAGTGACTACGGACGCTTCCGGTTACGGCATTGGCGCGGTCCTGGAACAGCATGACGGCACAGACTGCCATCCGATTGAGTACTTCAGCCAAAAGGTGCCGCCCATCAACACTCTTGATGATGCGAGGAGAAAGGAACTCCTAGCTTTTATCAGCGTACTTAAGCGTTGGCGTCACTTTCTCCTGGGTCATCGGTGATTCACGTGGGCAACGAACAACAATCCGTTGACAGATTACAAGACGCAAGACACGGTGAGCGACACAATCGGTCGGTGGATGTACTTCATTGACCAGTTCGACTTCACCTCCAAGCACATTCCGGGCTCCTCGAACAAGGCGGCAGATGCTCTTTCGCGAAGACCCGATCTTTGCGCCATGGTGCATTCCACGTTCGGCCTCGACGAGGACCTCCAAAAGCATTTCGTAAATGGCTACAAGTCGGATCTGGGATTCTCCACACTCTACGCGGACTTATCATCGGACCAACCGTCAGCAAGCAACTATCGCATCACCGACGACTACTTGCTCCTCCATACGTGAGGCAAGGACTTGTTGTGTGTTCCCCAAGACCGCATCTTGCGCACTCG